AATGTGTCCTTTTACTGTCTTAGCTGGCATGGATTCAACCAAGTAGTATTATCAGGATCAACAAAACATGTTCTCAGGATCACAAAAAGGTATAATTAATGGAGGAAGGAAGGAAGAAGGAAGGAAGAAGGAAGGAAGAAGGACGCGAGAAGGAAGGAAGGCAGGCCGGAAGGAAGGCAGGCAGGAAGAAAGGAAGGAAGGAATACTGCGGCAGACCTTTTTTTCTTGCGGTCATAGTCTGGCTTTAGATGGGCGAGGCGAACACGCACATACACACAACTGGCAGGTTGCACCTAGAGATAATGGTCTTTCTATGTGCTGCACTAGGACGCGTATTTTTTGTGCTGTGGCTGCTGGGAAAAGGCTCGTCGAGAAATCTGTCTAAAGATTAGCGACAGGAGCAAGAACAATATTTATTTTTTCGTGTGCAGCTGGTTCTGCTAGACGACATTGCTCGTGAGCCGCTGGTTCTGCATGCTGCTGGGGGGAGGTGTTTGTTTGCGAAAAGCCCTGGACAAGTTTTGGCCGTTGCACTCTTTTTTAACCCTGGGTTAGGTACATTGATTTCAATGGTTGTTTGATCCGCCGAGGATAGTTTTTGTAGATTCTGATGCTTACACTTACTAGTGTTTCCTTTTGAATCCTCTTACCCCTTTAGCTCCTCCCTATGAATTTTCGCGCGCCCACAAACATGGTGTATCCTCCCTTTGCCATCGCATTCCCTTGTTGCCAGGGTCAAAACTCTTTGTTCTCGTGGGATTGGTCACTCGTTTGGCGGCCTTTCACGGAATAGTGAATGCCGAGTTCTTAGGCTTGGACTTTCCTTCCACAGATGGTGTATTTTGGTATATTTTGGTAAACTTCAAGACCTTTTGAGCAAGAACAGATCTGGCACCATCTGGGACTTTCCTTGGAGGACTGGATGTTTGCGTCACCAGGCCAGAGCCAATTCCAGAGTGAACGACCTGGGAAAGCTTTATTTCCGTCAGCTCGGCTGAAGAAAGCACTCAAACATGGAGGCTTGAGGCATTTGTCAGGTGAGAGGTTGGAGGATGTTTGGGTTCTTGTGATGGCACAGCTTTGCAGAGCCGGTAGGGTGTACACGAAGTTTGACAGATGACTGTGGACGAAGGCAGCTGGTTGGGTTTGAGCTGGACAGGTACTTGACTTTGACGATGTCAATCGAAACTGATACGTACTAGCGATGGCCTTCAACCTAATAGCGACGGCCTTCAACCTAATTGCGATGTCCTCCAACCTAGTAGCGATGGCCTCCAACGATAATATCCTTTCCTCTCCGGCATTGTCTTGGTTGCTGAGGTGAATGTCCATAATGCTGCTAGTGAGTCACAGTGAGTCGGCTTGATAGCAGTTTTGCCCTTCGACATCAGAAGACTCATGCAAGAAGACGCAATTGCAAGAGGAATGGAAGGAAGTTCGATTGGCAGCCTACTACTTCACCCCAAGGGGTGAAGTACTCATTGTATCATCACTTCTTACACTCCCACTCACTAACATGGAAATGGACAATGGCCCCAGGGAAGACCATGAAATCCACTACAAACAGGTTGGTGGTCATCCACGTAACCATGTTAGTGAGTCAGAGGGTAAGTTCTTTCCTGGTCAAATGGATCATGGGTGAAGTCGACCCCACAAAACCCGGAGACCTTCGAGTCGGACCAGTCAGGAGGTGCCAGGCCCGCCCGCAGAATGAGGGCAGGGCAGGTTTTACTGAGCAAGACCTGGGATCGGAAGTCCTGTGTACAAAGGACTCCAGGTCTCCATGTCTGGTCTCGGAGGATCTCAAAAGCTGTTTGGCTCGCTTGGTCACGAGGTCGCAGAGGTCACAGAGGAGGTTCGCACAGGTCTCCCACGGTCTTCCACACTTCTCTCAGATGTGGGGGGGGACAGTTCCCCGGAGGGTGTCGTCCCTCCCACCTGGCGAACTGTGGATCAATCTTCGAACCCTCCCCGAGAGAAGCACTTGAAGACGTGACCGTGACCCTCCGGACTGACCTATGGCCCGGTGAAAAGTACCAGGTGAAGGTGTGATGTGCCATCCCACTGTCTCAATTGGAGCGCAGAGGGCCTTTGTAGAATCCAGGCGCTGGCAATGGATATCTATGCTTGCGTATGTAGGATAGCCATGGACAAAAACTCATGGATGATTCACTCCCTGGTCAAGAAGAATAGGCCAACGTGGATGACATGGCTCCTTCGATGACTTCGATGACCATTTTCCTGTATAAACAAGAGGTTTTCCACCTCCATGATTCCAGGGAGTGTAGATCAATCAGCACCTTCGACTCAAGTCGATTCGACCCGCTCTGCCCTACGCTTCTCTGTGATCACACGCTTGCAGATCTGTGTCGAAGGACGAAGAAAAGACGTCCACCTTTCAGGGAAGCCTTTGCTACTCCTGCGCGTTTGTTTCGGAGTAGCAACGAGCCGAGTCATCACACTCCTAAAACGAAGCATCCGCGGAACGAGTACAATCCGCATTGGTTTCTTGGCGGAACGTTCTTTTTCGTTATGACAAGTCAGTTGATGTGGTCCGTTGACCCATTCGGTCCTCTGAAACACGTGGTCGTTTCAACGACGGAGCGACGCGTCTGACGACGCACGGCAAATCGCCCTATCTCCCTTGTTTTGCGGTCTTTTTCTTCCGGGGGAAAGCGGAGAGCACCACATCCATGATGGTCCATTCCTTTCTGTTTGCGTCCACTGCGTCTGTTTGCGTCGCAAGAGGTGAGACGAACTGTTTTATAGCCTTCAAGTTGAGATGATTTTCCTGAAGACAAAAAGTCAGATGTTCACATAGGAAGGCTATATAGTTCATTTCAACAGGAAGGCTTCTGTTATACAGGCTTCTATTTCAATAGGACTCCTTCACATAGGAAGGCTTCTTACAGGACACCTACAAGACTCGATACGGTGCTTAACATTCAGAGGTTTCTGACATGTTTTCCACATACACACCTAGGTTTCACACTACATACGCTTCATATTTGCTTGCGCTACCTCTGCGATGGCACCATGAGGAACTCGTGCAGTCGAAGAGGTTTCAGGGGTGGATCGCCTGTTAAACCAGTAGAACTAGTAGTAGCAGTAGTAGCTAGGAAGCGTTGCAGATGCATGCGAGTGCCAGAGAAAGACCTGATCTCCTGTTCGACCCAAAAGCCACCAATTTTCAGCGATCAAATCGTTCAGCGCATGTGCTGTTCATAAGTGAGAGATTGCCATGGTGGCCCAGTGGCTCTGAAAGGGATGCTGATGGGACAGTCACGAACATGATGAAATGAGACAGGCACGATGTGGCACTTTTGCATGTCGCTCTACCTGGCTTCTTTGGCATCTTGCCACTTAGACCAGGGGGCAGAGCCGCCTTGGCCTGAAAACGATTCTGATTTTGTTCAATGAAGTTCGAACACTCGTCCCAAGTCCATGTAGTTTTCTCAAGGGTGTTTCTCCAATACGAGAACTTGTGATTGGGGACTTCTTGGCCGATCGGTGAAAATCCGTTGACAGCCTGAGGTCCCGAGACCCTTCCACTTGACGTAGGCATACACCTGGAGCAGACCTGGGGTACAACAGGTTTGTCTTTTCAGATGAACGGATAGTTACTGTACACCTTCCTCCTCCACTGAAAGACTTTGTTTGTTTTCAGGGAGAGTGTCCACATCACCATCCCCTGCTTGGTAGGGGACATGAGGGATGTCTCCTGTGCGATCCAGGCCCCGCGGAGAGTTTCTCTGCTACTCTCCTCTCTAAGAGAGAGTGAAAACCCAAGTACGTACACTGACACTTGATGAGTAACTTACATTCGAGTAGATTGCATCCCCAGAATTCGGGGAGTTTCCTTCTCTTCTTTGTTGCTTTGGGATGGTTCATCTTTGCCACCTGGTTAGTCTTTTCACCAGGAGTCTTTGGCTCTGTGTCGCCGTGCGCGACGGAGGGAAGTCTCCTGTCGGGGATGCTCGTAGCCAGGGGAAGCAGTTGCCAATGAGTCATGAGCTTTGGGCTGCCGCGAGCAAAAGAGCAAAAGACAGGTGGTGATGCCATCCGCTCTAGCCTCCAAACCGGAAACATGCAAGCACCAGCAAGCACCAGCGAATCCCACACTATACCTCCGCAGTGGCCATGTTGCCCCACATGGAAGATCAGCCAAACCAAGCAGGGTTGGTCTTCGAAGACTCAAAGAAACCAAAGGCTTTGGACGTCCTTCTTGAAACGATGAAGGCTTTGGACTCCGCTTTCCGACGATCCACTTGGGGTTTTGACATACTGGTTTTGCTGCTGCTGTTTATGGCCTGGGGGGCCATGAGGCGTGGTTCGGTGCCATTTACATGTTGTTGTTGTTGTTGCTGCTGTTGTTGTTGTTTTCAAATCGATGTTGTTGTCTGAGCAAAAGCCTCGTCCATTTCTAGAAATGCTGGTTGAGGTGACATGGTTAACGGGGCGATTTGAGTTGAATCAGCGATCGGATTGATATATCAAGCTGCACCTGATTGAGGGATGAACACCACTGGGCGTACTATGGCCATTGAGCGTCGCACCAGGTTTCACATGCCCTTTGCTTTGCTGTTCAAATCCTCCAAAAATTAGACTTCGAAAGCATTCATCTGGGATGACACCAAGCGATTCAACATGAAAAACCTGCGGGTTATGACTGCATGTTTTCTTAGAATATGTGGGTCTGAAGAGCCATCAAACTAGAGGTCTTTCTTGTAATTAATAAATTTCTATTGAGTTTGTCACTTTAGAACTTGGTAACTTGTGCAGTTTCTGAGGCACATGTGCCTCTTGTATAAGTGAGGAAGGGCCGCCTTTTTGAGTGGATTTGGGAGTGATTTGGCACGGGAATTGGCCTCCCGAGGATACATTTTGTCATTTTGTTGCATGTCTACTAGAAACTCCAGTGTCAATCCTGAACCCGCTGGACAATTTGGGAGTCTGACTTACACTGTGCAACTGACCTTAAAAGGGTGGTTGTCGCAACCAGCTGCTCACTGGGTTCTACAGTGCCGTATGCGCCGTGTGCTGTGCCGTGTACTGCAGCCATGGAAGGGAAAGTCTGCGTGGTGACCGGAGGAGCGGTTTCTGGGTACCGGCTCTGTGACACCCCCGAAGTATCTGAGACCTTGCTTCCTTTTCCTTTTTCTTTGTTTCTATTCGCGATGGCCTCCAACCTAAGAGGGATGGCCTCCAACCTAGGAGCGAGGGATTTGTGAGGGGAGGGGTGCGGTGCTTCAAGCGAGTCACTACCCGCACACTGCCCAAGAGAGCCATGGGGGTCAAGGTTTCCCAGACGCGTTTTAGTCGTTGTACTGTGCCAAGCGTTCGGAACGTACCAAGAATCCGAGGGGTTGCGCGTCCAATCTGATGACGTTTACAAAGAGAATCTGGACCAGGACACAGAGATATTTAAGATTATAGAATTATTAATACCAAGTCTTTGCGTAATATGTTTCTTTATATCGTTGTCCTAGCCATCAAGGGAGGTAGCTGAATTCGTGACATTCGCAAGTGTATAAGTGTACATGGACTTTGGAGGCAGGACATGGGCAATGTATAATGTATACTGGTTTGTTCAAGGGCTCTAAATGGACAAGGAATTGTAATGGTGAATTTAGATCTTCTAAGAAAACAACTCTTGTGCCGGCTGGGCTATTTCAACTTGGTATTGTTGCCGGTTTCTTGTTTCCACCTGATCTGCAACGTGTTGAACCAGCTTACCATGCCTCTTGTACACGGACTCTTTCGTTTGCCCACCGACGCCTCCACGGGTCACGTGATGCGACCGAGATCTCGCGAGGTGGAAGCGGCATAGGACGGGCGGGACACGGAACCGCCCTAGAATTGTACCAAATGAATCTGAGGATCTACTGAACGACGAAAATGGAAGTTGACATGTTCGCCCAATCTGTATACATTACATACAGCATTTTGGGTAAGCATTCTGCAGTTCGCCAGCTCTTTAAGCCGAATTGATTTGTACATATTTGCACTATTTCGCGCGATGTTTGCAGCTTTGGTTCTGCCAGCTTCAGGAGCCGCGTTGTGCCGCCGCATGGCTGCGCTGGGTGCCAAGGTGGTGGTGGCGGACCTGCACGAGGTGATCGTACCCGAAGGGCCGTTTCAACGGTTCATCCAGCCAGTCCTAGAGCCTCCAGGTGGCTTGGTAAATGGGGGGAGATGATTGCTCCATGGCACTAAACAAGCGAACGGGTCTTGGGGTGGGATAGTTTCCGGAATTGGGGCTGAGCTGGGGTTGGATGTTGGAAAACATGCACCTCTCAAAGCAACTTTCTTCAGCTGAAGGAGCAGAAACTCTTGCAATCGATGACTTCCGTCAAGTTCTTTTCCTCTCTGCGAACCTTTTTTCATCCAGGTCATGTGGGCCAGACGTGGGAAGAAGCTACACAACTAAAGTGTCTTGAAGACCGAGTGGGCAGGGACCACGATTCATCCGATAGGAACAAGACTTTGTTCCTTCCGACGACTCCGAAAAGAAGAAAACACCAGAGAACTTGTTGTTCTGATTGAAACACCAGTCTTGACGTCTGGGGACTTGGTCTCAGAACCCTGAACCCCAAAAAAGGAACTTCTTCCGGACTCCTTCTGATTTCCTTCGGTCTCCTCCCCGAGCCCCTCCGAACGTCGAGGAGACCGCCCAAGCGGTGGCCCAGCCCTTCGCGACCGCGCTGGCGGTGCGCTGCGACGTCGCGAAGGCGCGCGGCCGTGCACGGGCCGTGCGCGGGCCGTACCCTGCGCGTGCGGAGCGGAAGTGAAGTGAGTTTGGGGCATCCTTGGGCGGAACTCTGAAGCAATTTTGAAGAGGGATGAATTTGGATGCTGCAAGTTTGAAGAGTCATATAGAGTCTAGAGCTAATGTAAGCAAGAGGTCTAGAACACCACTGCCGGCGGGGTGATTGGACCTTTGTTTGGCTGCAATTGGTTTGACAGAGTCTGCTTTTTCATGACAGGTGCCGTAGATTTTGGGTGACACACCTGCCAGCTAGAGACTCTCTCTCTCTCTCTATGGCTGTAGGTCAGAACTGGGCCTGGTTGACCAGTGATGAACAGCATGGACTTACCAGGGAGGCCAACCAGCATTTGGAGCTCCAGTTGCCATGACCCATAGAACACCTGGCTCCCTTGAGGCAAAACTCGGAAAACACGCGAACTGTTCAAGTTGAGAGTCTGGTCTCTCTGTTTTCTTCTTTTTTTGTGGGACCGTAGTAACTATATGTAAACATGAGCATCCGTCGCGGAACATCGTTCCTATCTTATGATCTACGCTAGTCTCTCAAAAGGACCATCCAGGACCTTTGGAATGACCTTTTGCTTCAAGAGACAGTCCTGGACCAGGCTGAGCCTTTTGCTTCAAGCCAGTTTTGTTGCTCAAGGGGCACACCCCGTATCTTCAGATTTATAGTCCCAATCCAATGAAGTAGGGACATAGAAACCACCACTTGCGCATCCCAATCCATTTGGACGTCCCAAATCCACGGTTTCGACCCAGAAAGCACCACGCCCTCCACGCTCTTCTTCCCGATCCTCCCTCCCGGTCGCTGGTGCGAAAGCGCATGGCCCGTTCTTGCGGTGTTCTTCCGTCCAGGAAATGGATCTGCGACGCTTGATTGCCATCGCCGAGGCCGAGCCGAGCCTGGCCGTCTGGGCCGAGACGGCCAGGGTTTCGCTTCAAAACACCCCAAAACCACGGGTGGTTCGTCAGAGAACCTCAAGCAGCGTCTGACTGGTGTGATGATATAGATGGGTGTAGGGCGTACGGATGTGGAGGGCAACGCATTTTGTGTACTTCTTTTCTGAGTGTACAATTAGTAGTAGCAGTGTCCACCTTGCCTTTGTTACGTACCCATCCGTATACCATACCCGCTCATCAGTCTTTCTTTAGGGCGAACCTGGTGTCGACATCCCGTCCACTCAGTTTGCCGGGTTACCACAGGCCGTGTGCGAAGGCCGGGAGACCAATGGGGTGGTCTGTCTTCTTTTCGTTTCAAGGGGAGGTGTTATGTCGGTCAGCTGGTTGCCTCAATGTAAGGAGAGCTGGTTGCCTCCACCACCATTTTCGGTGTACTTGGGATTTCTACCAGTGCGGAGGTGTCTTATTGTGGGAGGATATTCACCCCCCAAAAAACTGGGTGGTGTTGTCTTGTGGATACGAGCTTCCAGTTCTTGTTTTGTTTTGTGTTTATGTTTTCTGCTGTTTTATCGGTTCTTTTTGTCGTCACCTCCGGATTCCACGGTCCCGCACCATCCTCCTTCTGTACAGCTTTTGATATGAGTCATCCAGTTGTTGACTTTTCAAGCGGATGAAGATTTGGGGTCAAGGCTCTTGTTGCAGCTACTCTCTTTCTGCCTTTTCAAGGCGTCCTGTGGTCCCATTGACATCTTCATCTGCAACGCTGGAGTTCCTTCAAATGGCGGCTATGAGGCGTGAACTGTGGGACTGTGGGCAGCCTATTGGCGGTTTTTCTTCTGAAAATGAATCGGGTTGAACCATGGAGTGGAGTGGACTGGAGTCGAACCATGGCCCGTCAAATTTCGATGCAATTTCGATGCGATCTTGGAGCACCGTCCAGGAGCGGAAGGTGTCGAAGCAACACAGAATCTTTTTGTAAATAGAATAACACCCACTTGGATTGTAGAACCTCTCCAATTTGGGAGAGGTTTTCTTCATCAAGATTCGAAAAGATGTCCGGAGTCCACACAAACCTCTGGGCCAGTCAGCGGACCCTGCGGACCCGGAAGACCTCCGTCAGAGTCTTAGACTGTTGGCAACTGCCATGTTGTTGTTCATCTCTTTTTCTTCGGTTTTCCATACACACCGAGCTTTCTATTCCGCCCGGCCGCTTCTACACTGAGCTCTCCGGCCGCTTCGAAGGTGCCGGACGACGAGTGGGAACGAATCTTCAAGGTCAACGCGTGGTGGCCCAGCACAGGAAGCGCAGGAAGCGCGCATCGCGCCCTGTCGGGGAGGACGCTTGGAGCGGGAACTGATGCTGAACACATCGGCACACGGAAGACGGTAGCAGGAAGCGCGTGCCATTGAGCAAGTGTTGCTTGTGTTGAAGTGTTTTGACTATAACTAAGACACCTTGCAAGGCAGCGTCCTAAGTGGGAAACGGGTGTTTGGATTTTTGACGTCTCCAGTTGTGTCTGTGTTTATATGTTTTTATTGTCATTATTACATGATTGTTTTTTTCTTGGGGGTCCTCCGACGGTGAACCTTGACATTGTTTGGGCTGGAACTCTTGTGTTGTGGGTGCTCTCTGTCTCTATTCAAAAAGATCAACCGCACCGTATAACAATAATACATACAATAATAGTATTATGCACATGCATGTATGGAGCCTACCAAGCGCCTCGAGACGGAGAACAAATCCTGCAAACTCAACAACACCGCTTTCATTGCCCAACCACGAAATTATCGGCTCAAGTTTTCCCATGAATGTGACCCGGCTTTACCCGAGAGGAAGTTTGACACGATGGATAACGAGATGACGGGATGGCTTATTTTGATCCGAAGCCGCTCGGTTTGTAGATCTCCAGTCATGCACAACGTTCGCCTGAAGCAACTTCTAGAGGAGGAGACTTGGCAAGTGGAGACACGTTGTTCTTTTCCTCGCCATTGGGGAATTTATGGACATCTATATACTGTATGGGTTGTGTTTGTTTGTTTTTCTCCCGGTCTGAAGCTACTCAGCTACTCAAGGTGAGCACGAAACCAGATAGCTTTCAGAAGTTCGTGGAGCTTCTTCGCGAACCTGAGCAGGGTGTAGCGACCCTGTCGGAAGCGGACGAGATGGACTTCTCTGCGAGAGATGCTCACCAAATTCAATCTTCTTCCAGATGTGTCCTACTGCATGAGACGGAAGCTGGGCGATGTGCTCGTTGCGTGAGCCTTTGATCCTCCTTTGGAGGCACCCATCCTCCAACGGCCGGAACCCGCACCGGAGCCCTTGGAGGTTTTGGCTGCTCTGCTCAGCGCACATCGCGACTGAGAGGCGGTCATGTCGCAGACATTTTTCGTGAGAGATGTTGCAGTTTGGCAACACCTGTTCGCCACCCTTATTTATCATCCAGTGCTGCATTTTTCGTCATGCAACCACTTGACCCTTGCAGCACCATTTCAATTCGCGTCGAACGTCGGGTCACTTGGACGAGCATGCGCAAAGCGCTCCCAAAACTCCATGACGAAGAAAAAAGCCGCTCGACGGCCCTTCCCAACGACCCTTCCATGTCCAACTCCTTGCCGCCAGACGCATCCGGGCCGAGCGGCGTGTCTGAGGCAACGTTCCCCGCCCCGCGGCGCGCGCGAAGCCCGTGAGGTGATGCAACACGTTTACACCGCGCGGCACTTGTTTCCGCTCTGGCAACAGCGGTCAGGTGTGGTCCTGTGGGGGGGGGGGTGGCTGCGACCAGGTGTGGTCCTGGGGCCGCGAGGGGGCAGGGAGCTTTCTCGGCTTTTGGAGGTGTGAAAATGCCAGTTGGGTCTATTGGTCAAGGAGAGTTGGACAGGTCAGTTGCAAACCCAGTGGGCACTGAATCAACGTTCATGATACGATGCAGCCCTAGTTACCTACGACAACTCTGGATTTCGTAACCCAAAGGCCTGACCAAGTAGCGCAGGGTTTCTTAGCAGCTTACGCTGAAACCCTCAAGCTTGCTAAAAAGGCTCACTTGTCCATCAAGCACAGAGGTCTGGAGACTTCTGTGCCACTGTCATGAAGGAACACAAGTCTTTGGAAGTCCTCCGATAGTCCGTGGATGTTGGTGGTCGGAAGATCACCCATGTTTTGAGGCCATAAACGCTTCCACAGACGCACTTGGTGACACCCAAGTGATCCAAGTGTTCATCCAAACTCCTCCCTACGCAGGAAAAGTGGATAGCCATTTAAACACATTTTAACCTTTATTGAGATGTGTTGAGGTAGCAAGGCCGGCAACCGAGGTCCGGCAACGAACGAACCAAGGCACGCGAACGCGCGCCACCCGCAGCGCTTTTCAGCGCACAAGTCCCTCCCTTGAGCGGAAGGATACGGTCGGTCGAACATGGAAAACACTCTCAACCACTTCATGACTGCAATGCACAGCGTGCAATTGTCATGGGGGAGAAGCAATCGCGCCGTAGCGCGTGGCATGAGCCTGCAGCCAATTCTGGATGGAGACCCTTAAGGTGTATCCTCCTGGCTGAGCTGGTGCCGTGACGAAGTCGGGAGGCAGAACTCGTCCACTGCAAAGTTCACAGTGGAAGTACTCATCCTGCATCCGGACATCCCTGCCCGCTAGACTGCTGCATTCTGCAGTCAAATGGAAGCGGCGGCCTCTCCTGCAAATCAGGACTCCGCGCTGCAAAGGGCACTCAGCTCGGTGGTTGTCCATCTCTCGGACACAGGCTCTCAAAAGCGCCGCACCCAGCGCAAGCAGCTGGTTGGACATGCAGCTTTCTTCCAGGATCAGGTTGAGCGATCTCTGGAATTCGTCCGCGGCTCTCTGCGCCTCCATGGCTTTCAGCTCCATGGTGTTCAGCTCACCTTGAAGCCTCTTGTTCTCGAGACGAAGGCGGTGAGGGACCAAGGCTTCTTCCTTTTGAACCCCGATCTCTGAGGTGGTGACCTGGGTTCGACCAACGCTCCAGCGACCGAGCAAGAACATGGTGCTCAGCAGCAAACAGATGGCGGTGGTGAGGATGAGCTCAAACATACCAGCTCCTGTCTCCATGGTTTCTTCTTCGGTGGCAGCTGCCACTTGTGGTAAAAAGAAACACATCATGACCATGAAAAACTTCAGGGGGTTGCCAGTGACAAAGGACATGAGGTGCCATGGCTCGACATGGCTCGGACCGGCCCGGGAGACATACGTGAGCACTCCATTGGTGTGGGCCAAGTAGCCAGCCAGTTGGTGCTCGGTGTTCATCTCATAGTTCTCCTCGGGGAGGTGGCTGTCCAAAGGAAACTCATGCTTCCCAACTTCAACTTCACTTTCATGGCCAGGCGAAGGCGCCGGCATCAACTTCACTGGGCTGCTGGCGGTCGTGCTCTCCTGCAAGCTTGCTTGGAGCTCTTCTTTTGTTTTCTTCTTTGCAGCCTTGTAGTGAGGATCCCAGGTCAGCTTCAGCTGTCCATATCGAAGACGTTGAGCCAGGAGCGTTCTCGCGCTCTCCTTTTGTGAGGCCATCAGCCATTTGGCGCTCCGAAGACATCCAGCGCAGGCTGCCGCCCAGAGACAGAAGGCGCTCCTTCATGACCCGCACCTCCAAGGACACTCGTTTGTCCACAACTGAGCTGCCGACACCTTCACGGTGAAATGAATCGTACAAAGCCTTGGCGTCGGTCACCATGGTGGGCTCCAGAGGACACGGAGCTTCCAACAGCTCTTTCAGAGGTCGGCGGGACCCGTCAGGGTGCTTGGACCATTTCAGCAACATTCTGCTGGTCAGTGTTCTTGAGGGCTGAGCTTCTCGGCTTGTTTCGAAGGCCCAGACATTGTTGTCGAAGAAGGACTGAAGTTCTTTCACCTTCGCAGCTTTGAACATGGCACGTTCGTCGGGCGTCATTGTCCGCTCGGACAAGGTGTTGGCACTCTTGTTCATCTTCTTGTGGTCCTTGGTGTGCTTTTGCTTGACCATTTTTCCTACTTGTCGTGCTCCATGAAGTGGTGCCTTGGCATACATGGCATACTCCTTGCGAACGGAGCCCTTGATCTGGAAGATCGTTGCGCCAGTCCATGAGGTGGTGCAAGGTGGCTTGGTGCATGTGCCATCATCGGTGGTTTGTGAGCATCGGCCATTGTTCTCATAGATCACTGTCACCCGAACATTGTCCAGATCGTGTACAGAGAAGGGTGCATCATCAGGCAGCTGCTGCAGGCTCATCTTGTGCCTCCGTGGAACACAGTGGTGGCGTATCAAACATCCAGCACGGACTTCCCAGTAGTCACGCTCCCTTTTCTCAAGCTCAAAGTAGCCATTGCGGAAATACCATCCGCTGGGCAGGGCATTGGTGTCAATGGAGGTCACCTGAAATGCCTGAGACATGAGAGCTTGTTCTTCTGCCTCTCCTGGTTGTGGTGGAGCTGGCGGAGGTGCAGCTGGTGCCTTTGGGATAGCCTCAGGGCTAGGCGCTGCACTGGGTTCTCGTGATCCATAAAGTGTGTCCGTCATTCGCCGGTTGCGAATGGGACCAAAGGAAATGGTCTCCTGCAAATTGAAGCGAGCCCGTCGCTGCTGAAAGGTCTCTGTCTCGATGTCATGAGGTTGATACAGCGAGGCAGTTGCAGGATCCAAGGCCATCGGTGGCTCAGGAGGCAGATGAAGATCTCCATGAGGAGTGGGAATCGCAGGTTCTTCACTGGGTTGGGCAGCAGTGCTTGGCGGTCGTGATCTCGAGTGTCTGGACACTGGAGACTGTGGTGGACTCTGGGGCACTGGCACTTGTACCACATCAGCTGGTTGTGGTGCATCAGGTGGTGCTCGTGGTGATGTGGGTGCATGTCCAGAGTGTGCCGGTGAGGTCGGCGTGTAATCGCCACCATCGTCATCAGCCAGGGTGTGGGGCTGTGCTGGTGCTGCAGGTGGTTCAAGTCGGAGTCGATGTCGTGGTGGCTCATCAGGGTCACCATCATGTTCATCAAAAGAGCCATCGGCCTCATCCTTCATTTCATCTTCATCAACATCATCTAAGTGCTGTCGGTTGACGCGTCGAAGGTCAAAGTACCTGGTGACGCCGCGAGACTTCAGCTGTCGAACCTGGTTCGTGGCAGTCTGTAGGTCGTCCAACAGATGTTGAGGTCCAAGGATGTCGGCTCGAACATGATGTGGTGCTGCTCGAATGAGCTGAGTCTTGTAAGCCAACCAGTAAAGCTTGACCCGTTGGACCTTGTCATTGGTCTCCTCCTCCCTCAACACCACATAGGCGGGACCAAGCCAGCGAATCTTGTTGAGCAGACCTTGGCGTGCATCTCTCCAGAACCATACACGTTCACCAACTTTGAACTCTCGATTCTGGCCTTGGTAGCGACGGCCAAGAGCACGGCGTAGCTTGTCATCAGCGTCAGCTGTGGTCAAAGCTACCTTGGCGGCTGTTCTGCGCTCCAGGATGTGCTCGAAGGTCCGGTTGTTGCCAGCCAGTTGAGATGGATTCAAGTTGGAACTCAGGAGATGTGCTGCTTCAGGTTGATAGCCAAGGACCCATTGGCTTGGTGAGAAGCCTGCCACAGTAGGAGTGGCATTCTGTTGTGGGATGACATAGGTCAACGCTTCACGGATGCCGCTGCGGTCATGAAGTTTGCGGTCATCCAGGTAGATCTCACATGCTTTTCTGATGACGGCGTGTCGCCGTTCCACCAGGGCTAGGCGTTCATGAGCTTCCCCAGGTGCAACTTGGTGGTCTATGCCATGAGCACTGGTCCAGTTGTCGAAAATGCCGCTCAGCCAGGGTCGTCCTTCGTCAGTGATGAGCTGTCGGGGTGCACCAAAGTGTCGCAACCACATCTTTTCCAAGGCCTGGATGTAAGACTCAGAGGTCTCATCAGTGAGAAGGTAGCAGGCCATGTATCTGGTGCCAACATCGACAAGGCTCATAATGGAGAACTTGGTGTCCTGGCGCTTGATGTAGAACACATCAGCTTGGAGAGCATCGTTGAACTCTCTGGTAGTGGGCATAGTTGAAGGAGCACTCTGATTGGGCTTCCGATGCTTAAGGCAGGCCACGCACTTGTAGGCTCGAGCAGCGTTGATCACTGCTTCTGGGGCACCACGGGCGGCAAGCAGATCACCCAGGGCATCAGGTGTTGGATGACCCAGATTGCGATGAAGTCGTTGCGCAACTCGAAGAGCATCTTGCCGATGTTCCACGTGGAGCTTAGACAAGTGTCCAAGTGGCTTGCCCATGTTCTCATCATCCACAGTGTACGCCCATTCCCAGGCGTGAGGAGCTTCGGGAACCATCAAGGCTGCTGCAAGTGTCGAGGCGAAGCCGGGCTGGTAGTTCTCGAGGTACGATGTTCGAGGACCGAGGCCGGTTGCATGGCCTTCCAGTGGGCAATGCTCATGGTCATGAGGACACTGCAGCGTGAAGGCCTCAGCGATGGCTTTCTTCGTAGTTTGAAACCTGGTGCCCTTTTGTACTGGCTTCCAAATGCCATCGACATCCAAACACATAGCTCCATAACAGCACTGGTCGAAGCTGACTGCGAAGCCAGGTAGATCACGCAAAGCACCAGTTTTCCAGCTCAGGGCATGTCGCGGTTGTTCAACAGTGGCGTGTCGCCCATTCTTGACCTGAGTGAGGTAACTTCGACGAACGAAGCGAAGGTGCCGTCGATGGTGGTGATCTCGACGTGCTTGTAGTGCTTCTTGTTGTGCAGGTGTTCGGCAGGCCAGTGTCTGCATGCGAGACCAGAGGCGACATTCAGGAGCCATCAACAATTCGTCAGGTTGTTCTTCATCAAGTCGGGCCAGGAATTGCTGTTGGTGCTTGATCAAGTTGAAGTCCCAGCCATTGTCAAGGCTGAAGGTTTCCACTCTCATGCCCAAGGATTCGGCGATGGAGGAAGTGCGGGCTTTACCAGTGTACACTTCCCAAAGCACTCGCCGTTGGTCTTGTGGTTCATGAAGGGACTGCGTGATGAGGTTCTCAGCCTCGGTGACTCGGGCGGTCAGTGCAAGCTCCATGGTGCGAAGAGCATGGCGAGGCAATCGGCTGGTGTCCAGCTCATCCTTGAGTTCATACTCCTCGGCCGTGAACACATGCTCGGCAGCATTGAAGTCAGGCAGATAGAGAGCACTGCCAGGCACTTCCTCAGCGATGTGCAGGGCAAAGAGGCTCTTGGTTGGGTCAGTCTGCCATTCCATGCCCTCAGTGAGCGGCATCAGGTATTCGCCATGTCTGCCAACCAGAACTGGCTGCCAGGGCGAAGAGCCAAAGCGCAGCATGCGACCACTGAAGTCAATGCTCATGTGGAGAGCTTCGATGACTGGGCGACCCATCAACATAGGCGTGTTGCCCGGTACCAAGTAGCACTGGATTGTGCCCAGCTGACCATCAACCGTCACAGGCAGGTCGACTGTCCATCGAGCTTGGGCTGATGCATCACCTCCAAACTGAAAGCGACGCTCGCATCGAGCAAAGCGAATCTGGTTCACAGGATAGCCCAGCTCTTCCAAATGCTTGACGTAGCGCACGAAGGGGCCATAGCCACTCAAGAATGCAGAAGCTCCAGGATCCAGCATGGTGGCGTCGACACGTTCAGCTCCATACTCATCTTGGAAGAGGACGAGAGCTTCTTCAGACTTCAAAGCCATACCCTCAATAGAGCCAGGTGCAGGTCTCTTGTTTGAGGAGGTCGGTGAAGAGGACTTCGCATTCTGAGGACAGTTTGCAGCCCAGTGGCCAGGTTGGCCGCACCTCAAACAGTTGGTGGCCTTCGCACGTCCACGAGGGTCAGCATCTTTGGCCGCAGTGTAGGGATAGCGGACCACATTCTGACCCTTTCCTTTCTTTGACTTGCCCTTGCTTTTGTTCTTGCCCTTTCCTTTTGAACCACTTGGGACAGGACCAGCACCGATGGGGACCGTGGTCTGGTTGTCGGTCAGCGCCACGACAGGCATGAAGCCTCGAGCCATCTTCAACTGTTGAAATCGTTGTCGGGCGTCCAAGTACGTGGCATAGGCATGGTCATAGGTGCTGGCAAGTTCAGCTGGCTCATCATCCAATGGGGTTGACTCGTCATAGTCATGTTCTTCAAGTTCCCCATAGTAGCCAGCGTTGACATCGAATTCGGGGTCGTCCCCATAGTCTTCATAGTCAGGCTCAGGTGCCCAATCATCCTCACCCCAGTAGCCCTCCTCATAGGCGTCCCAGGCTTCAGGATCCTCCTCCATGGCCGCATAGCCGCGACCCTTCCAACGAGAAAAACGCTTGTCCTTCTCTGGTGCCCAGCCTCCAGCTTTGTAGTCCTGACCAAAGAGCAGGTAGATGGCCTCTATGACGTTGTTCTTCTCAAGAGTTGGTGCCTTCAGGGTCACCAGCTGGCGCTGTTCGCGTGATAGGCCAGCTCGTCTCAAGAGGTGCCATCCTTGGACTGCAGCGGGCAAAGTCACCTTGTGTCGGTTCAGGCGTCTGTAGGCCTCATCGTAGTCGGTGACATAGGCCAAGAGACTTTGCTGGGGCTTTCGCTGGAGTGTCACGAAGTAGAACTCGAAGTCGTTGGGGAGGGTGACACTGTCCTCATACTCATAGTTCTGATCCAGCTTGGCGAGGATCTTGGAGAAGGAGTCCTCTTTCTCAGCATCATCAGCTGAGAAATCCTCAAAGAGGCGCCAGGTCACGCCTTGAAAGCTTCCGAGGATGTTGAGGATGGACTCACCGGTCCGCTTGCTGAGCTGCATCTTCTTGTGGTATAAGCTCAGCCTCTTGCGATACTCTCGGTAGTCGCTTGGTTGGCCTGAGAAGACCGGGACATAGGAGTCGCGCAGGTTGTAGAGCTCGGAGGTCTCTTTCACTTCTGCTGCCTGCGTCGGCATTCTTCTTCAAGTAGGTGGTCGTTGACCGAAAGCGCTCAACAAACGGGGCAATGAAGAGCTCGGCAACGTGTTGGTGACGCGGGACTTCCGCAGAACCCCGTTGACCTCAAAGCGTAGATCGCAGAGCCCCGGAGGGCTCCGCTACCAATGTTGAGGTAGCAAGGCCGGCAACCGAGGTCCGGCAACGAACGAACCAAGGCACGCGAACGCGCGCCACCCGCAGCGCTTTTCAGCGCACAAGTCCCTCCCTTGAGCGGAAGGATACGGTCGGTCGAACATGGAAAACACTCTCAACCACTTCATGACTGCAATGCACAGCGTGCAATTGTCAAGATGTCTTTTTTCTCCACTCACATCCAACAGGTAGAAAAAGGACAGAAAAGGTCAACCTTTCGCCAGGGAAACTGTGGGGGTCAGGCCTCAAAGTGTTCAACCGCACCCTGCAACTTGAGCAATGTAGGCTGGGCGCTCTAGTGTGGCTGCACGCGCAAGCGATGCTGGGAACTCCTCAAGAGGAGGCGAACATACCATACTTGATTTGCTAAAGACACACCACCAGGGTAGAACTTAGGGTTCTCATCAAGGTTTTTTGACGTGGTCAAAGCATCTAAAGAGGTCACAGCATCCCCAGGTAGACGATTCGCTGACCCATCACTGAGACCGAGTAGGAGGTGTACGAGTGTCAAGAATGAGATGAATGCGTGTGCGTGCGCCGCACATCTCAATCTGAACGGAAGAAACGCCAACTCCACAATGAGCACCAAAACCGAACTTGGAGAGAATGAGACGCGTTCTCGTCACAATGGTTCCTGACATAGCTTGGCAGTCATGGTCATCATGTGGAGCGGCCAAGGAAGGACGACCGAACTAAACCTTAGCACCCCCCGGTCATGGTCCTCACCCATCTTCACGGTTGCGCGAACGGTCCCTCACCGGCGCCGGTGCTCCAAACCGGCGCCGTTCGCGAGGTGAAAAGCACCTGGTGATCACCGCCTCCGCCGCCGGGCTCCTCACACAGGCGTGGCGGCCGGGGCGGCCGGTGGGCGGCAGAGTCCTGGAAGGACATGGCGGAAGGCGGAAGGTGCCGATGGGGGGTGGGTTCAAGGGTTGTTCCACTGGGTGAAGGGTATCTTCTTTTACAAAAGGGTCCAGACGCAGTCCTTGGCTCATGGGGTTTCCCTACTTTCAACCACCCCCGGTTCGATTTTCGACATGGAACCTCTCTTCGGTGATGAACGACCCGGCGAGTTGCCACTACCATCTGTGAGGGTTTGGAGCACCTTGTCGAGCTGGTGCTTTCCGAGCTCACACGTCGCTGGTGGAAGGAGCGAAAGGAGCTTTTCCCCACTGGGGCGATTTCCCCCCGGTCTGGGAGTTGAGGAGTCGATGAGGATTTTAGTAAAGCTTAGTAGATAATAATAGTTATACCAGCATTATACCAGCAGTGACAAAGGGGTGGTGTTTAGTTCCGTCCAGTGAATGGATCATGGGCACCCCTAACCTCCATGGATAGCACCCCTTTGTGCCTGCTCGTATATAAGTTATATCTCGCGACCCCCAGGTAGATAGAGAAAAGTAAATATCCCTTTCTTGTCAAAGGTATTGAACATCGGACATCGTTTCTATCTATTTGGAGACCACATTCTGTGTCATCCACCCTCTCCTCCAAGTGATTCCTGCCAGGTGCCCGATCGAACGGCCTTCGGCCTGCACACTGCACGACCTCGACCTCGACAGGTGGGGGCACTGCCCTACAGCGTCACCAAGCACGCCGCAGTGGCCCTGGCTGAATGGCTTGGAATCCAAGACACACCGCCACCTCGCCACCTCGTCAACTGAACCCCTCGCCCTCTGGCGTTGAATTCCGAAGTTTGCGTATAGCGAAGGGTTCTCGTGGAACTCTGGGGGTCTGGGGGTGGAGTCCCTTTTGTCTGGACGACCGAGGTTGCGAGACCTCGCTGTGAACCGAATCCTTGAACAGCAAGACGTTCGGACGAGAAAACCAAAAAACGGCCATGGCCCCCCCAAATCCACAGAAAAAACCACCGGCGTCGTTTTTTCGCACATGACATGTGTTCAGACTGCTTGTGGGTGGCACGATCCACGGTGACACGGACCGATCTGCCCCCTGAGCGCAGACCTGGGTCCGAGCCGCAACGGAGCGAGCGGGTGACCCGGTCTCCCGAGGTGAAGAGAGAAGCGTCTGAGAGGGGCAAAGGGTCTGATGGATGGAGAGTCCATGTTGATCTTGAGTTGATTGATGTCGAGGTGGACCGGGTGGACTGATGGCTCGATCGATGGCTGGATGGCTGGGTGGATGGATGGATGGCTGGGTGGATGGATGGATGGCCCTCTGAGGTTCCGGATCAGCTATGCGCAGTACGGGATCCAGGTGTCCTGCCTCTGCCCTCAGGCGTGTGGGACACAAGCCTCACCGGTTTGACGAAACCACCATTTTGACGTCTCAGGCCGTTGAGACGGGGATGCTCCCGAAGGGCTCTGATGGAGGAGTGGCAGGTGTGAGGGAGACGGGGGTGGGGAACACGAAAAAACAAGGGACGCGCGTCTTCGAGATGCGGGGAGATGGGGATTTTTGCTAGAGTCTAGTTTAGAGTTGCCTATGACTTAGGGTTGTGCAATCATTTTGTAAGACCATTGTTGCGGCACGCAGAAAAGCATGACGCTTTCTCCCTCTTGAAGATTTGTGGGGCGTTTTGGTCCATGCTCAAGCACTCTAATACGTCCTACCCCAGAGTGACCTTTACAACCCCACTTGTTCGAAGTCATTTTGCAACTGCCACAGTCCGACAAGTCCAATCACACAACACCAGATGCACACGAGACACAACACCTGATGAGGCCTTCTGAGAGCCTTCTGAGGTGAAGGTTCCATTGAAGGTTCACATCGCCTCGTTCGCCAAACGGCGGGGAGGTGGTGATGGGCTGCTGAAGCCCGAACAGGTGGCTGAGGCACCAAAAGCGGCGGCGGGGTGGGAACAACAGCCAGTCACATCAGATTCCGGAAAAACGGCGCCAAAAAATGGGGGTGAGAGATCCAAGGGGAAGGAAGAGCCAGTCACACTCCCAAAGGATAATACAGTAGATGTTGTGAGCCTCTCCAAAGCTAGACACCCAAGTTACTGTACTCAGGGTATCTTTTTATGAGAATATGTCACTTGTCGCTTGATGTGGGAGAGTGAGCTTTCTGTACCATATGCCTGGCAGCAGAAGGGTCCATAATAGGTCTCGATCGCTCACACACCACGAATGCATGGACATTGCGAACTTGACAAGCCATTTGGCTGAAAAGAGGTTTATGGTTGATGTATGCGGCAAACATGGGCAAAATCCATCCTTTGTTTTTCTACCGGGTCGGTGAACCTTTTGCCTTTTCCCGCATTAGATCTCTACTCGTGGAGCCAAAGCGACACATGTGTTGGTCCTCCGCGCCGTTCTTGTTGGTCCTCCGAACCTAACGGGAGATCCTCCAGATCCCCCAGACCTCCCGCGTCCAATGCGATCGCTGTCGTTCACGCCAGGACGTGCTACAGGCGATGGCGGAGAAGAGATTCTTGATCCTCCCGCATCAAGAGGTCGACATGACGCGGACGTGAGGCTTTGGACGGTCGATGTGATGTGATGTATGTAGTACCGACATGAATGAATGAATGAATGAATGAATGAATGAATGAATGAATGAATGAATGAGGGTGGTGTTTTTATTCAGCAGTGAAGACTAAAGGAGTGTTGGATGAGATTGTTTCTTTTTTCCTGACTGTATGGATTTGCGTGAATTCCCTTTCCTCCATTCCACCAGTGGCTGCGGATGATCAGCCGAGAACAGCCAGACCATGACCCTGAGACAAGCTTCTCTATTTTTCTCAAACTGCATGTCTTGGGGACGCTGCCTTCACCTTCTTCACTGTGGCTCAGCCCATCCAGTGTAGAAAGTGTCCATTCTTTACGAGCAACACTGACATCCAAAGACATCGCACGCCATCCGGCGATGTTTCTTTATTTTTCAGGGCCCCAACACGATGCTACTAGATGCTAGCTATGCAGTGGATTAGAGCCATATTAGACCTCAAAAAGGGCCTGGCTGTCACTGGGGGGGGGACAACTGGGTGCTTTTGCATCGGCCCAAACCTCGGCCCGACATCGGACCCTCTGTTTGGAATGATGATGGCGCGTACTGGAGTATCCAGTGAGTCGGCTGGGCCAGGTGCTCACCTACTTTCGACGAAAGGCTCAGGACTATGAGCGCTGGCTGAAAGGCATGGGCAGGCGAAGAGATTGGTGTTTTTCACATCCTTGAAAGATCTTTTTGTTCGGGGTCCAGGTGGTGGAGGCGGGTGGAGGTGTTGATTAACTTTACATGATTCTACATGAGACTACTGTCATCTTCATACCGAACTCTAAGCCCAGGTCCGTGAGGCATCAGGATGAACTAGGAGCAACCATCCAGGGGACTTGATGGGTGGCAACTGTGGCAACAAGCAGCTTGTGCAAGCGACCTCGATGCACGTCGGCCTGTCAGTGATAAGGAGTAGTAACTAACAGCATATGCAAGTGGGTCCAAATGGGGGGACCCTGGTTTTTCCCCACGGGTCAAATGAACAGATGGACCACTGAAAGGGATGTCAACCGAAACCATGGCTTGTCGAGTGTTTTTTTTGGACCCGCTGCCATAAATAATGAATCCCGGCCCTTTGTCATCGCACGTAATGACTGCAGTCTCTGGTCGAGGCATCTAGACTTTGATTAAACAGACAGAGTCGGCCCTGATAGTTCCTTGTTGCAGAACTCATCACCACAGTCACCCTCACAGATCAAGATTCCATCATTCTCACTTTCATCGCAGGTTCGGTGGCGCACTTACCTCGGCGCTCCGCGTACCTCGAGCTCCGCGCGCTCCGCGCGCGCAAAGCGACCACGCCCACGCTTCGAAGCTCGTGGCAACCGCAGGCTGCAGCAGACATTTGGGGAGCTGCTGAGGCGCGCGCCGCCGACCTCCGCAGCGAAGCTCTAAGGCTCTGAGGAAATGAAGGCTCAAAGGCAGCCAGTCACTCAGCGCAAGGTCGCAAGCGGATGGCAAACATTTGTGCCAAGAAAAGAGATGCATAAAGATTTTAGCAGGAGCTGTGTGACGTTTGGCACTTCTTGTTCTGAGATCTTGGGTAATTATTGATTATCCTTGTGTTGTTTCTTTGGGGTGGGGTGGGGCACAAGATCCAGTACCCAAGAAAAGGGTCGGACCACAACAAGGATGGATTGGTTTAGGTGTGGCAAACAAGTGCTGGGAGCCTGTTAAAGAGCTGTGGATTTCAGAGGCCGAGGAAAGTCAGTTTCACCTGTCACAGATAGATGTGGAGATGGGCCTTTCCAGGATTTCTGCGGTGCTATTAGAGAGCCTATGCACAACCAAAGCATTGAAACAAAGTTCTTTTTGTGGTGGGACTGCCAAGGGCAAAGAACGTGACACTTGAGGAAGGAAGGTCATGTATGATTGTGAATCAGGGTTTTGTGGCTAGCTGTTTTCTGCACTCAAAAGGGGACTACCTGCTGCCGGTCCCTCATGCGTTTGGTTCCTCAAGCACGTTGGGAAGATCTCACAATCTTAAGGCCCCTGAACCGCAATGTCTTTTCTTCGGCTCGGAGGTTCATGTACATATCATTCCAACTGCCCTGTGATCTGAGTGGACCAGCTTCCAACTCGCGTTACGTGATGTGCTGTTCTACCTTGCAAAGACATTGTCGTTTCACTGCTCAAAACCTCACAACAACACACCTGCCATTGTGTTCATGTCCCCCAAAAAGGCTTCACCGCTTCACCTGAAGTTTTTTTTCCCTTTTTTTCTTCATCACATCGTGTTGATTCGTGCGCCGAAACCCGGCACGGTGCCCTCGCGGGGACGATCCTCGCACCTCGTGCGCGAGACGCTCAGCAGCTCCATGTCCGTGTTGCTGGCCATCACCTGGGCCTCTAGCATCCTCACAAGCTTCGGGAGACTTGCCAGTCTTGCTAGCCTGGAGGAGGACTCTGATTCCCTGAGACTGGTGCAGGTGAGGTCAAATGCTACCAGCCGATGCAGCCTGGCAAATCTCAGCATTCTGGGTGAGGAGGGTATCTTTTGCGGGAATTGGTGTCTACTGCAGATTGCATAAGGAGAGATCAAAATTGATGCACATCTTTGCAATATGAAGATGGTCTTCATTCAGCGGAGTCCATGAATAACACGCCTATACTTAAATAGTTGGCCTTAACTGTTGAGATCTACTTCTAGAGCGAAGGAAACACAATTAGACAGGACCCTCCACTCCGAAGCATGTCCTCGCTTCTTGGAGTGTACGGGAATCCAATCGTATGACAGCACCAGCAAAAGCACTTCCTGCATTCTCAAATAACCAGCTGAAATTGGTCCAAAAAGAACCATTTTCCGTTTCGATGAGGTTGTTTCTAATCTCGCGATCCTTGGGAACCACAGCTTCTTTTTCTCAAAAACGATGTTTGAGAAAAGGGATTCGTGGACCTTGCGTGTGTGGACGTGTAGCAGTGGATGTTTAGAGATGCGAAAACGAAAATGCTCGAGCCAAGTAGTTGTCCAATTCACCAAGAAGTAAGTAGCGTCGTTTCGACTCAAATAGTCGTTCATCCAAACGGCTGTGGCTGAAAACGAGCTCCAAACCCTAGGGGAGGTTGACCCTGCAGGGAATTCTGTTCATTTTTCCGTGGTCTGCGTGGGACCTCGAGTCTAGAACCATTCCTATTTTGGTCCTTTTTGGGTTCCAGGTTGGTATTGCAGAGGTAGTTTTGGACGAAAGACGCCCCCAATCCTTGTTGGCTCTGCTGCTCCACTCCAAGAAACCCATGAGCTCTTTTTTCGTTATGGGGAACATGTACCACGACATTCTGAGCCAAGCCAGGCACCTCTCTCGAGCAAGGAATGGTTTCCGCATGAGTTCACATCATACACTCCCATCCTTTTCGGATGTTGGAGCTATGAGTCTGTCAGTGTGTTTTCAAGACATCTGGGGTGGATTTGGGGGTTGGTTTTCGGAAATCCATCTTTCGGTTGGGTCTCAAATCTCAGGCAGTGCCTATCCCCATCATGGCCAAATGGACTGCGACGGTGCACCGATGTGCGGGGTCTTAGCCCTGCAGATGGGCACAGGACGGGCGTGGTCCGGTAGACCCAGGTCGGGCAGGCCGCGACCGGCCTCTCTTCGTGGCAAGAAGAAGGTCATGGCAGGTACCTTAATTAGGCAGGTACCGGGACCTTTTTTGTTTCAAGTCTTCTTTTCCCCATGGCAGTACCTCTTTTTTTGGATTCTGATTGGCAGGTCAATGTGACATTTTCGGGCAGGTCGGCACCCCCGAGAAAGCAGATTGGCGGGGAAGATGTTTGTCATTTGTCTACCAGTCTTCATCGTTTCTTTCTTTTTGCGTTGATTTGAGTTTGATAAGTGCAGTGCATGGCCGAGAATGATGCTTTTCTGCGTTGATTGATTTGAGTGACAGAACACCTGTCCGCCGTGCCTTTGTGTTTTGACACAATGGGACACCCAGCGCAATTCCGTGCGCCGCCGCCACGGGCCGCCACCACCGCGTGGGTTGCAGGGGTTGGACCACAATGGGTTCCCACTTACCCCATGTCACTGTATGTCACTGGGGTGGTATTGTGGTATCCTTTAAACCAATGCTGCTCAAAATGCCCAAATGCCGCTCAATGGTTCCATCACATTTTTGCGGGAGTCAACCCAATGACTCCCTGGAGGAGTCAAGCCTCTTTTGGGGTGCCCACGCCCGTTTTTGGCTCCAGGAGGAGGCGCCTACAGCACTCCAACTCCCAAGGTGCATGGGCTCTGGCCACAGGCAGCGGCGGAAGCCGAGACCGCCGCAGGGGGAAGCCGAAGCGCACCAGACGTTGGGTGTCCGAAAAATCAGTTGCTGTCCAGGTGACTGAGAATGAGATCGGTGGAACAGAAGAAAAGCCATGTGAAGGCACAGACTCGCAGTGGATGGTCAGTCGGGACCGATTTTCCCCACAAGTTCTGTTTTGATGGCTGGTTACAGAGAATGCGAGGAGGCGACTTACCATCTTCTAATTCAGATCGAAACGAGTCTCCGTTGGAGGACACCATGGCTCCTGAGTCCTAACTCTCAGATACATTCTATGGTCTCGTGAAAGAATCTCCTATGAAAAGGTTTTGGTCAACCAGACTCAGGAAGGATGAAAGTGGGCCGCCATCAACCTCGCTATGCCACTCCCAACCTGGCTATGGACAGGGACCAAACACCACAGATTCCTTTTTGATGGTTTTTGTGTGGCCCAAAGCTATCCAAGCCACACGGTGAGACCGCCTGGGCCCAGCGAGCAACTCTTTATATGGCCATCGACCGGTATGGCGACCGATGTTATGTTCGGCACGTTGTTGTTCTGCTCCAAGCTTATACTGGTTGCAGCGAGGGGACCAGTTAAGGGGACCGCACGATTCTTTGAACAGTCCCATCTCCCCAGGGCCCCCATTCCCCATACCATCTCCCCATCACCATTCTCGTGACCGTTCTCGTGGGTCCCATGCACCCACGCCTTTCCCCCCCAAATCGTTCGCAGTAAACGATTTGGCGATTTGACAAGTAACAACTTTCACATAAACCACCTTAGAAGCACACGCTGACTCACCAATAGTCAGACTTCCGATCATCAGTTCCCCGGTGTCGTCGCCGACAGGTGCCTCCCTATGGCAACTCTGGTTGTGTGGCGCCAACCAAAAGCACAAGGGATCCAACCACGCTGGTTTCGTGTTACCAGCCGACAGGATCACAGACCGCCAGCCATCAGCAATGGTTTGAGGCGGGTCATGTCAGGGGACGAGATAAGATGTGGGTGCCGATGGGGCAATGGTGAAACTGTGAAACTGTTTGTGTTTGGAGGCTTCTGCCTCAGACGTGCTGACATAGCTGAAATGCTTTAACTCAAGTTCACCAAGTCGCAGCCCAGTAGTGGTTGGATTAGATAGAACAGTAGATCCCTACTTTTTCCATGTGTATATTGGAAACCATTTCTAATTTCTATCTATTTGGGGATCACTCTAAGTGTTTCCTCCTGCGTTTGGCCGGCTGCCGGGGCCGCGCCCACGAGTGGGAGGAACACGAGTGGGAGAAACACGGCATGTGCTCCGGGGCGACTGACGCAGCTGACTACTTCAGTCAGAATTTTGGCTGCGAGGTCCGCGGATGGCTGGAAAGGTGACTGGCTTTCTGGGGGAACTTTTTTTTGCATCTATTTGTTGAAAAGGCTCCTGTAGGGTTGGATCAGTGTTGGGAAATATATTCAGTGTTGGGAAAAGTGTGTGAATATATATTAAGAATATATATGTATATATCGGGCTTAAGCGCAACCGTAGAGGATTTGGAAATGCATTGAAACGCATATCAAACACAACCTTTGTGAAACACAAGCAACACGGTATGCGAAACGTGGTTGGAAGGAGAGTGTTTAGGTTAGCATGTGAAAAACACACAATGCACATATATTTGTGGGGGCTGTTTGGATAAAACACCTGCAATACCATGTGACACTGGGAAGGGCATGCTTCTAGGTAGAAGACAGTAGAAAGACAGAAAAGCCCGCCCTTCTTTTTTTAATGGCGCACATTTCCACCGTCTGGGGGATGCAGGAACCTGGCTGCTTCTTCCCTTCGTTTTTGAAGCGAGATCGGCTTTATTTCATTGATTGTCGAGTTTTCGATTGTTTTGATTGGCTTGAATTGTATTTGCTTGATTGTTGGCCCAGTGGCCTCGAGCAAAATCATCACACCATCGTCAAGGGCTTCGAGTAAAATCACACGCAAAAGGCACCAAGAACACGATCGCAGTGGGAGCTTGCTCAAAGGTTTCCGCCTGGCTTTCCACCAAAACACTCTTCCCCTCGTCTCCCTTCGGATCGGAGGTCCCCAAGTTCGGTTCTTCCAAGCTGGTCAAAACACACGCCACCGGCCATGGGCAGCGTCCAAGCCTTTGTGGTCGCCCCAAGGATTTGCGCCTTGTCCTCCAAGCCTTTACGCATCATGGACGGCATTCGAGCAGCGGGTGGCTCCGTCACAGATGCCGCGGATCAGTTGCAGCGCTTGGGGATTTGTGTCCACTCCATGGGCACACACGAAGCTTGAAGCGACAAGAAATTGGGTCGTTTGGGGTGTGACATGTCCTGCTAGCTAGAAAGCAAGGGTACTTGAGAAAAATCCAAGGTGGACAGCAATCATAGCAAAGGGAGATGAAGACCCCGGTTTGTTTCGTTTTCTGGGGTGCTTTACTATCGTGGCTTCGCCTTTTTCAAGCTCAGAGTGCTCAGCTTTGCCAGTCGTGTTGCTGTGCTCACATGGGATTTGTTGTCGGTTTTGCCCAGAGGATGCACCAAAAGCTCCTAAGAGCTGCAACGCGCTCTCAGGAGCTGCAACCGTCTCGCATAGGTTTTGATTTATATAGTTGGTTGTTTGGAAGAGTGTCTTAAGAAACAGTTGGCCAGGGTTGCTGAGCATCACAATGGACCTTATTCCTGTTTTTTCTTTGCATGCTTGTTTGGCACGTGACTCCCAGCTGTTTATTTCTATTGGTTTCTTGCTCTTCCTCTCAGCTAGACACAAGTAAGGATGTTTGATTGACCCTCCAAAAAGGAGGATCACGCACCCAAAGTTTTGCACACGAGAACCATATTCCTAAAGCTTCCAGTATAGGTCTGATCCAATAGCAGCATCTTTGTTGGTCTCCTGAAACAATTGGAAGGACCTTGCAGTCCTGGTGAGTGAATGCAAGTCAAGTGACTGCTACTTTCAGTCCCCATCACCATCAAATCCGCAAATCCGGCCACATCACCATCACCATCACTTGATTCGCCCATCTGAGGACCAGATCGAGCTCTCAGCCTGTGCCGGCTCGGACGGCCGTTGGAAGTTGGCCGACGTCGACGCCTTCTCGCGCGTGTGCGGCGGCGCGGCGCCTGCGCCACCTGCGCCGCCGTCGCCACCGTCGCCACCACCGACACCGAGCGGGCGCTGCGTACTGTGGCAGATGAGCCGTCGGAGAGACCCTCCAATTTAGGAGTCTGGGGATTTTGAGGGTAGAAACGCAAGCTGGATCGATAGATACAGTAGGTGGTACATGGTTGTATACTGAGTAATTGTACTGTATCAATTTAGCTCATACAGCTTTAAGAAGTGCTTCAAGATCACTGCTCAACAATCTTTCGATCTTTTTTCTGGACAAAAGCTCGACTCTGTTGGATTCAAGGTGCCGAACAAGCATGGACCACCATGCCAAGAGGACAGCGATTGCCGGGGTGCCTTGGCTGCGAAGCTCCTTTTTTGAGGAATAGAAGGATCCACAAATATGGTTCAGAGGCGTGCGTTTTTTTAGGTAAAAGATGAGTCTTTTTATGATCGGCATGAGGAATTATTTCTTGGCTTGTTTGAACACTGCTAGCTTTTCTGGTCTTCGGTGCTTCATACTAGGGGTCAGCTTGGAAGCCGAGCCAAGGTGGACAAGGGCGAAGCCTCATTTGGTGTGTTGATTGAAACTATTTCAGCAACCCTGACACGTGGAAACAACATGCACACATCTGATGAGTTTCCGGTCGTTCTCCAGGCATGTTTGGGGTCCGTTCGGATCTTCGATTTGGATGAACTGCCAGAAACCCCTTCCCAGTGCTGAGGATTCACGAATTGCCTGCGCTGCGCCCGCTCGGGCTTTTGCACAGATCAACCTGCACCTCGACGGGTTTGACACGCTCGATGGGTTCGAGGGGTTCGGGAGGTTTTGACATCATTGTTTCGAGTTGACTGGCGGGTGGTGGCCAAAGTCCGCCATGTAGGATTGGATTCTGGTGCAAGTGAGTGATGCTCTTACAAGAGCGAGACTCTGTAAATCTGTATTTTTTTCCCCAAAGCTTCACAGCTTCCAAATAGATGCATTCTCATGATAGTCCCGTGATTCACGTTCCAGTGCAATTGAGAAAGCAAACAAACACATATCCAATCAATTTCTAGCTCTCGGTCGGATCTGCCCCCCAGTTTTCGCCCTCCGGAAATGGACGACACCCACCAGTCCAGCAGGGAGCGAGCTCTCATTGAGGTACCTGAGGCACCTGAAGCGGACATCCCAAGGGTCTCAACTCGTTCGTTTTTGCGATCTCTATCAAGCATGCGTCGAAGTGCTCCCCATGTGGAATCCCAGAAGCCCCTCAGAAGCCCCTCTTGCATGTGGAAGCCCCTCAGAAGTGGTGCGTTTATGGTGCCTGCATGACTCTGCCTTTTTTTGTTTTTCCTGGCAAGAGTTCATGCCCACACACTCCTTGTGGGTGGAAAGATCTTGATCCTTCTTTTGCTCACAGGCATGGTGAGCTTAGGGGGCCTTTGCATGTTGCAAGACTCTGAGCTTGGGGGGCAAGCTGCTCGTCGCAAGAGACGCCGTGCAAGAAAGAGCAGCAAAACAAAGCGTGGGCGCCTGTTTCTGGTCTACAGAGGAATCGTCCCTCACTGTGCACAAGGAGAGATCTCTCTGAACTTTTCTACAGTGAGTTCAGAGCACTAGCCAAAAGAGTTCACCTTGTTTGGTGCCAATGCCATCGACAGGTGGAGATATCCTCAAGCGAAAGATGGCAGGATGTGTTTTTGTTTGTCAAAGCTTTGCACCCGACCGGTTTCCTTTGCGACGGCCGAGAATCGCTAGGATGTGTTCAGAAAGAAGCAAGATGTCACCAGAAAATGGGTGTAGCATGTGTCACCAGTTCTCGGTGGGAGAAATGATGGGAATTTGCATCAACCACATTCTCATCATGAGACTTGGCATCCCGATCTCAGGGGCCGAGAAGGGCCGTCGGCCAAGAAGGGCCAAGATCTGTGATCCATGTTTCTGCCGAGAGCGATCCGAACACTGGGCATCTGAAAGAGACATCTTTCGCTGCGGAATCTGCGGATGACGAGTGGACATAGGGTCAGACATAGGGTCAGACAACGTTTCTGTAGTACTTCGAGCGTATCTCAAGGAAGAGAAGAAGTTAGTCTCTAAGAGCAATCCCTTTAGACAATCATACCTTTGCTCTCTTAGCTCTCATAGACTGACGATGTTCTTCTTGCATGGTCGGATGCATGACATCCCGCGGCCGTTTCAGGTGTCTTTTTGTAGTATTTATTTTGGGGTCAGCAAGATGTGTCATGACATCATGTCTACATGCACTGCTACTTGGCCGGTGGCGAGATGAATGAACAGCTCGGAGGGGGATTCGGAACAGGTTTGGTGGATCAACCGAACAGCTCGGAGCGGGCGGGCGGGTCGCTCGGCCCGATACGTTGGGGTCTATCCAACACCTTTCTTAAGATACGTTGATTGGTCTAAGATCAATCAGCGTACACACTCTTGACGACCAACTACTTTTCAATCATTGGGTTGGGTTCAAGCAACATGTTATGGCTCTCAATTTCGGTGCTTCTGTATTGCCTTATCACGCTTGGAGATAGCCACCCATGCGAGACGCAAGGCAAGACTCGCGTTCTTCCATTCCTTCTCGACCTCTGCTCACCACGGGTGAGCAGCAAATGCTTAGTACCAAAACTCCGAAGTCGTGGCCCAGCATTCTATTTTTTGACAAAACCGGATCGTTCCCCTCTTGCAAAAGGCTCGAACGGACTCCGAGAAGGGGGGTGAAGCCGCTTTCCTCCGATCCTCGGTGAAGGCCGTGGAAAAGACCCCAGCGTGTTTGATGGAGAAGGGAGAAGCGATGGTGAACATTAACATCGATGTTTTCTTCTGGTACAGGACTCCAACTCGGTCATCTCAGTCTTCCAGATGTCTTTCACGGAATCGGATGCCTCATCAAATGCCTCACCCCATGGGTCCACCAAAATGGGGGTGGTTTTCCCTCCGAGGCCGAACGGATCGTGGTGCCCTGCCGGGGCGATGTGCAGATCTACCAGGCGAGAGATCGGACACCTCAGGGGCCGAGTGCTTTTAGACATGTCCAGATCTCTTAGACAGAATGTTGAATTCCTGGTTGAAATAGAATCAAGAGGCTGCAAGATGTATATATTTTATATACTGTATACATTCAAATCCAATCCAATATATATGGCAATATAGTATAATATATTATATGAGAAAGAGAGAGAGAGAGAGAGAGAGATAGAGAGAGAGAGAGAGTGGGAGACTATCCCCCAAGTTGGCCTTTTCTGAATGTTTTTCACAACGAGCAAGCCCGGATAGTCGTCTCGATGCATCTGCATCGTTTCGCCGGAACAGCACAAGCTTGCTTCCACAGAGACATCGCCAGCGCTCTGTGGTCTAGTTGCCAGAACATGTGAATTTGACATCTACAGGATTCTTCAAGCATGCACGCCCGCATTTCTGCTTTAAAGACGTACTCTCCCAAAACTCTAGGGAGTGATTCTGCTTTGGAGGAAACTCAACTCATTCTTTGGGACGTGATTCTGGCAGATGCTGAGGGCCAGCAATTTTCACAGCGCTGGACAAACAAGACACTTCTCTGTAGATGACCAGGTTGGGTCTCCTTGTGCAAAGTCTTTTTTGCCCAAGTTTGTTGAACAGTGGTGCAGCCCAAGGTGCTGCGACTTTGTGTCAATTTCTGAGAACGCGTTCTTCATTGCAGCAGACACCATCTTTGGCCGAACACATCCCTGGCTACACTAGTGTACTGAGTACATCCTGCCGGAAGGTAGTGAAGGGAAAGATCCCAGGCAACCTGAAGGCTGCGCTGTGCCTTGGACTCCAGCCGCGCGGCACGCGTCGTTCCGCGGCACGCTGGGCGACTAAGGGCGATTGAGCTGGTATCTCTGAGACTCAGATCCCCAAGCCCGCAGTTGTAGGGTGGAATTTCAGTACTGGCCAGAGCTTAACCCTGGAAGTCCGTTCGACCATATTTGTAAAATGGTAGATCTGGTTTTGTAGTGTAAAATCCTTGGCAAATGAGACGCAAACGAGACAGGTTCGTGCATGAGGTTTGCTCAAAATACGGGTCGTGTTGTTGGAGACGGACACAAGGGCCAGTAGCATATTTTGCGCTACATCAACTGGTCTGGTGAATGTTCAACCATAAAAACCTATACAGCTGAGTTACTCTGGGTGTGTATTTTGATAGGGAGGTCTACAACCTCCAACCAACGGATAGACTGGTCTAGTTCCCGACACCTTCCAGAGTGTCGTTTTGGGGAAGTCTCCTTATTTGAGCTACACGGTCTCCTTATTTCAGGTTGCAAGAGATGGTTTTCCAGGAGTGGATCTGCCTGAGATGTGGTGACGGGAGCAGGAGCTCCTCGGTGCTTTCAAACGTGTGTAGTTATTTTTGACGTAAAAAGGGTGGTGCTGACTGCGGAGAGGCTTGGCTTGACTGAACAGGCCATGGACGAATATATATATATATATATATATTAATTCTTTAAAATCTTACCATTGGTGTCGGATCCTATCCTAATTAGTATAATGGGAGGGAAATACAAAGTGATTGCAGTTTATTTATTCCCACACCCTGAATAGTTTAAGATCCAACATTCGTGTGTGAGCCCATTTTATCCAATCTGCACCACGTTCCAGGGCTTCCAAGATGGCTTTGTCGTAAAAAGATAAGACTAGGGAGACCTTCCATCGAAATGTCTTCGGGCGGTGTATCCTCGGATCCACTCCACTACCAGTGAAGCAAGCACCCGAAGAAACCGGATCTCTTGGAGAGATTTGCTTCGAAGTCGAAGCACCGGAACTGCTGTGCCAGCTTCTTCAGCGGGTGAAACGGGCGCCCGGCCTCTGTCGATCGGAGATCGGTTGTTCCGAGGAGCGAGCCCCTCTCGGAGGAGGACGTGAAGCACATTTTTCGAGAGGCGAAGAGTGACTGGGGACCTGGGCCCCGTGCAGTTTGCTTCAGCGATCTGAAGAAAGAGACTTACACACTCCTGGGGGTGAGGATGTGGATGCTGCAAGGAGCCCAAGATATGTAGTCTTGCACCTATATAATTCCTTTTGATCCATCCTCTTTCAACCGCAGAGTGTCCTCATGGGAATCTGTGTGCAAGAATCGACTCTGCTCTTTTCCATGGCCCAACATGTGGTGCCGTCCACCCCTCAGTCACCCTCCAACCGCCCAGCTCGTGGCCGCAACGCACAGGTGGGGTTGCAGACGGCCCAGCCAGTACCGCCGGGGCAAAGACCCAAGGTGCGTTGATCGATGGTATATCGATGGAATCGGTCCGCTGGTCCTTCGGATCAGGTTCTCAAGAGGGCAAAGAGGTCAACGTGTTGGCAGGATGTCATGGCACGTGGTTTCCAAATCTTGTGGTGTTGCCTGATGGATTGTTAGATTGTTATGGCAACATATTGTGTTCTGGTCACTATTTTAGCCTGGCAGAACATCTTAATCTTAGCGAATTCGCGGTCCAACCAAGCCGGCACTGGTGGACTTACCACTTGCCACAAAGGACAGATCCTACAACAACGAAACCACTCCTGTGGGGCAATTCACCCCTGGCCACCCATGACAGCGTATCCATACGTCCATGCCACCCATGACTGCCGGATCATACTTTGCTCCTTCATCTCAAGGCACTTGTCTTGCTTCGTCTCCCTTCATTCCCCCCCCAGCACCACCAGCACCACCTTTGTATGCAAACGTACCGCTAACGCGCCTGGCGGCCTCGCGCCTGGCGGCCTCGCGCCTGGCTCGCTCCAGCTGCGCAGGTGCTTTGGTCCTTTGGCCCACCGGCGGCCGGCAAGAGCACGCTCGCCCACCGGCGGGCGGAGGAGCTCTTCGGGAGCGAGGGCTCTGTCTGCGTCGATGGCGACGAGCGCCTTGGTTCCGGCGGGAGGAAGGGAGGGATGTGGGTTTCTTGGGGGCGAGGGGTGGCTGGGAGGTGCTCCTTCAACACTTGGCTGGGAGATATAGTTGGGATTTTTGATCGACTGATGGCTCTCATTCGTGTGAATGGATGGCTGGGACCGAGGGCAAACAGAGTTCTTGTTGGTACAAGGTTTCGGCCGCCACTTCGATCCCATCTTCGCGGGTCCGCCACGTCCCAGGATCCGGGATCGGCACCCCGCCTTCCGGGACGTGACTCAGCACGGCTTGGAGAGCCATGTGCTTCACAAAGATGCCTGGGAGGTCTTGAAAGCAACAGGCGTCGTTGAAGGCGCCGAGTTGGCTTCGACCGAAGACGTTGAAAGCTTCTTAGCCGGACGAAGAATCCACAGCTCGAAGCCCTGCGTCTGTCTGGTGGGGGACGCCAATTTGCGTCACATGTTTGCGAGAAAATCAAGAAACCAAGTGAAGTGCCTTAAACAGGACACATATTGGAAACATTTGCTGTATTATATAATTAGAGATCCCCTCCAACCTGCAGTTGGCCATGCCTGATCCGTCCACTCTATCTGATCCGCAAGGCCTCAAAAAGAGGATCCTGCATGAGGCGATCCAGCAGCGGCAGATGCTCAGATCCAACAGCGATTGGCCATGGCAGATGCGAGTTTTTCTTCGGTTTCGAAGGGGGCAAAGGAGGGTCTGGAAGGGTCTTTTGAGCGCTACAAAAGGGTGCAGAGGTGGTATAGCAGACAAGGACACTGGCAGGCCACTACTCCAACGCCCGGGTCAGTGCTCCGTAGTCTGGAGAGGAACCAGGCGAGCCATAGTCTGGAGCGGTTCGGGTGTGGTACCGGGGGTAGCCCAAAAAGACTCCCAAAAGACATGCGAAGACCGGTGACTCTGAACATGTTGGGAGGCAAGTGGTTCTTTTTTCCGGCTCCATGACTCCATCAGTTTGGAGACACATCACTTTCGGACCATGTGTTGGGAAGGGGGACACTCTGGAGGTCACTGTTACCGTACAAGACTGTTGATGCTGGTTGAGTGGGTTCTGAACATAGTGATTTATGTAGAACGGTGAGCCTTTCCAAAGGTGGTGATAGAGGAATTAATGAATCTACTGTACCAGATTTGCACAATACGCAGATTCACCACCTTGCACCGTCCTGCACAGGGGCAAGATCACTTTGTCAGTCAACCGCTGGTTCTCCGAAGCCAAACGTCCAGTAGCTAGGCTAGGCGACGAGCTCATGAGCTCATAGAGTGATAGAAACCGTCTTTTAGGTCCGCCCCATTTCCTAAACAAAAACATCACTATTCTAGAGATGTCCTGCAACCAGGCCCCATCATCCACTGCTGGTAATAGGAGATACCCCCATGTTCCCGGAACATGGACAAATCACCCTCCGACAAACGGCGGGTCTTCCAGGAATATCACCCTGCCGGATTGTGCCTTGAAGCCTGCACGAGTCATGGAGATGTTCAAAGCTTTGCAAGCAGCTGCAGCCCAGCGAAGGAATGGTCAACAGGGCGGATGTTTGTTCCTTTCTTTTTCAATTGTCATGGGGCGGATGGTTTGTTGGTTTGTTATGTTTTTTTTTCCCACGTTTGAACAAGGTGAAGAGGTCATGGTGACGGGTTGAATTCTGCACCATGTTCGCCGTTTGATAAATCGCAGCACATACTAGTTCGAACGGAAGCTGCTGAAGTGTCCAAGTTGTGATTTGGGGGGCTCGCACATGAGGCTATAAATTGGAGATAAAACGAGCCAAAACAATAAAGCAACCAAAAAAGCAAAAAAAGGTAGCTTTTTCGCGTTTGTCGCTTATTTACATTTTTCGGCTTTAGTTTAACGAGTTTTTCATTTCGCATTTGTTTTGCCTTTTTTTCGCTTGTTTATGTTTTTTTTTTAATCGCTTTTTCCTAGGAGTGCACAGCAAATATTGCGGACGGGTAAAAGTTCTCATACGTGCAGAAGTGGTACCAGGAAAAAAAAGCAAAAAACAAGATGGAGCCCACGAACCCGAATGCAAACACGTTCGAAAAGCTACATATGTCCAAATGACACTCTTGTAGGACACTCTTGTGGGACACTCTTGTGGGTCACTCTTGTAGGAAACTCTTGTGGGACACTCTTACGGGACACTCTTGTGGGACACTCTTGTGGGACACTCTTGTGGCACACTCTAGTAGGAAACTCTTGTGGGACACTCTTAAGGGACACTCTTGTAGGAAACTCTTGTGGGATACTCTTGTAGGACACTCTTCGTACGAGACTTCCTCCAAAAGTCACGCGTCAAGTCTCAAAAACGAGCGTTTCGTACGAGACTTCCTCCAAAACTCACATGTCAAAGTCTGCCAAGCGAGGATTTCGTACGAGACTTCCTCCAAAAGTCCAGCGGCAGCACCCATCAGAGCACACACATCATGCAACCCTGCCAAGCAGTTTCGCGATTCCAGTCCCTCCAAACGACACCCGCTCAAACGCCAATCCCAATGTGACAGCGACATTCACCTCTACCACAACTCACAACCTCCCGATTCCCTGCACCGGCCACGCATCTTTCCGCGTCCACACGTCTAACGCGCACAAAGTACTGCGCCTATCACGAAATGTCACCTCCGTCACACATCGCAACCTCACGATTCCCTGCGCCTGCCACGAAAATCCCACTTCCACACTTCAAAACCCGCACAAAGTCCTGCGCCTGCCACGAAAAGTAACAATGTCATCTCATGTGAGCTTCAACAAAACTTGCACCACACCACACGTTTGGAATGATTTCGACCCGTTCTGAGCACACTCCCAGAGTCCAAAATCGGCATTTCAGCTGAGACTTGTCACGAAAACAGAGCTTCGATGCCACACCCTTAAACGCAAATCCCAATGGCACGGCCACATCCAACACCCCAAAAACACGACTCTCCAAACGCTAATCCCAATGGAACTGCGTAGCAAACTGCGGATCTCACAAAACGCTGCGCCTGTGCAGCGAAATGCATCACGCTTCTTGCACGACATGTCCTTTTCACGCAAATCACAATGGACTCGCGTCGCAAACTAACACGTGACACATCCATGCATAGTCACTTGCAAAAGCTTCCCCCAATGGCAGCGCCTTAGCGCTCTACTGCGGACGGTTGCGGACGGTTGCGAACGGTTGCGAACGGTTGCGAACGGTTGCGGACTGTTGCGAACATAGAAGCAATGGGTCGCGAACAAGGCTCTACCCCCAGACCCCCAAGAGTTAAACGAGAACCCTTCGCTACGCATTCGGGAACAAAAAAAGCAAAACAAACGCAACAACAAAGCAAATCGCCTTGCTTTTGCATTTTCATTTGCTTTTGCTTCGCATTTTTTTTACTTTTTTGTTCACAAACATAGTTATTTGTGTTATATATTTGATGGTTGGTCATGTATAGCTGCCTTTGCTCGACACAACTGTAAATGTGAGGACCAGTGTTGACACATGTTGACACTACAAAATCTGATTTGAATCTGCTTGTAAGCTGAACAAGCTCAGTATGTAGTGACCTGCAGCAGGAAGCTGTAGCTGATCGCTTGAAGGAAGGACGATCACCTGTCATCAGATTTGGCTGGTCTCCAGTTCTGACTACAGCTCCAGAACAGGGGGGGCAAATCAGAATGTACCGCCTTCCCATATACTCCCTTCACCCGCAAAGGGGCTGTCCAGAATTCATTGTTCTTGGAAAATAATTTGATGCAAGATGTGATTTTTTTCATGAATTGCAGGTGTTTGTCCCCAAATCTTGTTTTTTCTTGGTTCGGTGCTTTTTTGGGAGAAACCTGATTTTTCTGGTGAAGACGACCAAGTTGGGGAATCGACAAATCAAGTAAGTGCTTGATCTTTGTTCTCCCAGCTCCGATTTCTTGATCAGGTGCTTCCCCAACATGGTCCGGTGGAATCCATATCAGGATGTGTGAATGATCCTCATCCATATCAGGATGTGAACATCCTCCGCAAATTCGATCCAGAGAACAAGCTCAATCTGGTCCATTGCCCTTCATCCAGCGATGGTTGCCAGGAACCTCTTTTGGAGGATCATCTACTTATGCATGAGAGGTGCCACGTTCTCTTCTGACTTAGGACTATGAGATGCATGCGATCTGCCTTTGGACACCATGCCAAGAGGCTGAAAGGCCCTTCTCGGTGGATCAAGACACCAGGAAGTCTTTGGTGGGAGGGACCAAATTTAGAAGCAACGCCATCAGACGCCCACCAGAGCCTATGTATATAAATACTAAGAAACACTGATTCTAACATGTGTTGCAAGTGGAAGATCCAGGAGACCTCACCATCAATGTAGACCCTTGATGAACAACTGAATAACCGCTCCTTATGATGAGGCTTTTTCGGAGGTTAGTAATCAAGTGCCTGCATTACGACCGGGTCTCTTCCGGTCTTCTGGTCGGGCTTTCAGATCTGGCAGCCATCATCGTCTGTTTGAAATGCGGTTCGACATCGAGCCACCAGGTTGCTGGAGCTGCACGGTGTTGGGGTCCGGGTTGAGACACTCGTGACACTGGTCCCAAGTGGCAGGAATGATTGGTTCACCGGACCATCAGGGTGGCAGGAAGGCGGTTTTTTTGTGTGCTCAAAGAGGTACTTAGGCTGAAAATTCTGGTTCATGGACAGTACATTTCTCCATCAGATTATGACTATACACGAGATCGATGTGGCGAATGAGAACTGCAGAAGGACTCTAGAATGCAACTACAAAGGACTTGAGAGAGGAGACTCTTGCATGAGTCTGTTCAACCTGCGGACACCTTCCACGATGAATGATTCCAAATCAGGCCAGAGTAGCTTCTAGTGATAGGGGGATCCTCCCACACCTTCTAGTGCCAATGCCAAGGGATCATCCAAGCCGCAACATCTTAAAACTATCCCAATCACTTCTGAATTCTCCTTTCTGCTAGCTTCGACCGGTGCTTTTGTGGTCCATCCCACCGGAGCCTACGAACCTCCGAACCTCCGGCTCCGGCGACCGACCAGGCGTGGGCGCTTACGCTCGGTGGCCACCGGAAAGGCCTACAGCCCCAAGTTCCACCGGCCCAGTCGAAGCTCGGCTCCAGACCCCTGGACCTGCTGACTGACGCACCCTTGACCCGACGGATGCAGCTGGGTTCGACGGGTGCAGCATGGCGGAGGGCGCAGGACGGGGGGGTTGGTTCGTTTCAATCTTCTTTTGTTTGATGGCGATTTCAGAGTTGAACAGTTGGATGAGGCGCCCTTCAGGAGCTGGAACGTGATGCTTTCTTTGGTTTAAGTGATGCTTTCTGGCCGGTTCAAGCTCCGTAAAGCAAGTTGACGGCCTAGGACAAGGTTTTGGGCCCAAGACCCATATACACAAAATATCCACAAATCACAAACGTTCCAGCACCACTGTCTACTTCTTCTCTTCTCCAAGGACTCGGGTTCTGCGTTTTTTTCCAGGACTCCAGCTTCTGACCCTCAGGATTGGTCACCCTTTTGGTGACTCCGACCACCTTCCAGCTCCACGACGGCTTTTCAGCGTCAAACTCCCAGTGA